TTGTTTTAAAAGGAAACAATTTATTGATGATCAATTATTAAAACAAAATCTGTTAATCAGTGGAAAAAATCATGTAAACTGATAAACAATCAAACTTTTTAGAAATAAACATAAATTATGTATCGATGGGTATGAACAATAACAGAATGACTACTCTAAACAATAAACAATTCAATCCTGCCAGGGTAATCAAGTCTGCAATGCCGGGCCTAGCAAAGACCCACCAAGAGTATCTTCCCTTGTGTGACCCTCACGGCGGGGCCGACAACCAGGCCAGACTGATGGGATATTTCTGCACGGCGCCCAAGGAGTTCACCTGGGGGGTAGAGGACCGAGATGCCGCCGTGAGGTGAGACAAATTGATGTATCTTGTTGTTCTTCAAATTGGTCGCTTTTAAGGACAAGAATTGCTATCCCGAAAAACGCTGTTTTGAGAAAATTAAAGGTTAAGTTTTTGCCCCTTGTTCAGTCTCTTTAAAAAGCAAGGATAGTTTTCTCTATAAACGAAACAAATATACACACCAATGAAACCAAACTTCTCCTATAAGTAGGGCAATGCCCACTTTTGGGGTAGGACAAGATTTCTGGAAACCCCCGAAATCTGGGTTAGCCTGCTTGTCCTTAAAATTAAAAGCGACCAATTATGATACTGTTTGTAAGCTCCCGTCAGTACTTATTAGATTATTTAGGAGGCGGGCTTCGACCCAGTTTGCTAGGGGGAACCGATGTTGAGAGGAATACACGTACAACGTTCCAGCACAGAGACGAGATACTCGATAAATGCTAATATTATGCGCAAACAGGAATTGAATTCGGGTCTTTTGCGTGCCACGATGAAGCATCCGCTACACAGCAACATTTTAATATGCCATCACCAATGATTTGTCTTCACTTCAGGATTTTTGTATGCTTAACATTTGGTTATCTGTTGGTTTATTTTTTTTATTTCTAAAGAAATATATATATGTATTCATTGCTCTAAATTGTAATGGCTCTTATTGTGTTGATATGTGTTTCTCTTTTCTCAAACAAACGTCTGTAGGTCATTTTGTTTGTCTGCTCACTAACTGTAATTGATATGTTCCCTTTTTTTCTTTATATTTTCGATGATCAGTTCAAGTGATAGTCACATTAGAAGGATTAGGCTTCAAAATTACAAAAGCTCTCTCTCCATGGTAGTGGCGAAATTACAGAAAAGAAAATGCTTATAACAGTGAGATTTACCTAAAATGCCAGGTGCCACCGAGTATGCGAGTATGCGTTGTATAGAATGATAATCCTTACGAGTCATTTTTCAAAAAAGATTCCTCTGAGCACGAAAAAGTCAACGACCAGAGATATCTAAAACACAATTTGGCTTTGCGGTCTACTCATCTCAAGTTGGGAATGAAATCTTTTTTGATCAAACTTTCCATTTCTATCCTTTCTACACTCTCCCTCTTTCTCTACCTTCTTCCCTTTCATCTCTCACCCCCGTTGCCTCTCATATTCTCTCTCTCTCTCTCTCTCTCTCTCTCTCTCTCTCTCTCTCTCTCTCTCTGTCTGTCTCTCTTTATGTTTACATGTATTTGAATCAAGATAGGCCTTAAACTCGCTTTAAAAACCCATC